ATCCCTGAAAGCCAATGTTATTACAATCCATCTAGTTAACAGGGAAAGAAATTAGGGTTAAGGGACCCTAGTTATAAAATAGTGGGGTTTTTCCTTACTCAAACAAGGTTTTCATAAGACTATGTCTCCTATGTTGTATTGATTGAACAATTACCTAGAGAAAATGTTTAGTCCCCCTTTCTTCCATAGTATCTAAGATAAATGCAATGATGAATAGTTGACTTCTATGTACTGCCTTCCATCCTAGGGTCTCAAAGTGTATAAATAAACAAATATTTCTTTCTATGCTATAGATGAGGAAATCAGGGGTTATTCCGAGGTGAAGCCAAAGGCTGAACAGTGACTCAGTGTCAGGGCCAGTAATAAAAGCTGGAAATAGAACCCAGAACTCCTGACTCTCTCATCTCCATCCTTTAACCACAAGCTCATTCCATATATCTAAAAGATGCAAACCACCACAAAAATGGGGGTCAATTGAAGACAATGTCATATAATTTACTGAGACAAATTATAACTTGAATAACCCCAATTGAAACTGTCCTCAAGCAGATATTGGAGTTCAAATGTTTCCAAGGCACTCCATAAAGGCTTCATTTTTGGGTCTTCAATAGCCTGTGTGTTGAATTCTCATGATCTTTTCTTTGGGCCAAGGAACGAGAACAAGCTCCTCTTTGGAGCAGAGAAGCTAGTTTTTCCTCCCCTACTAATCACCTGCAGGAAATGGATAATGCATTTTCTTTCCCTCCATCTTCACATCTGTGCTCTCTATGAGCTTTGATACATGGATATAGGCTTAGCATCTGAATATACAGAAGCACTGAGTGTACATCTTGCCTATAATCTGAAACAACACCATTATCTGAATGAAGAGTAGTTTCCAAGTAATTCAGTTATTGGATGCCTTCCTTTCAACAGTTGTGAAACTATTAGGTTGTTCAATGAAATAAAGCAAAAACAGGACAGGGATTCATCGTAGATGCTTTAAACAAGGAGGAAAATAGTACAGGGGCATCTGCTATGCATGCATGGGCTAATAAATTCATGTTATACTTTATATTTAAATGGCCATGTTGAAGTATTAGAGTCCATTGAATACCACGTTATTATTCAAGCCATTTTATTTAGAGAAAGGGGCAACCATTTTATAAATGAACATTAGAAAGATGCAACACCCCTAAAGTTGCCAAAAAAAAATGGCCAGATCTCTCTCTATGTGCTTTTAAACCTACCTCCCTAATCTGGGACACTGACCCTATCATTAAGTATATCTATTTTGGCTACATAAATGAGCGGCAGACAGACCTCAAAGAACCAAGAGATGCTGGATAATTGATTCAGGCTGATCTGAGTGTCAGTGTTGGAGGTTATGGGTGAGGGAGTGAGGATGGTAGGACTGCGTTTAGGGGCTAGTCGATCATTCCTAGCTAAGAATCAGCTAAGCAAATTCAAGAATTTCAAAGAGCCAAACTTCACTTTTCACCACCCCCTACTGGTAAGTAAGATGCCTTACAATGATTGTCCTTAGAACCACCTGAGTTCTTTTTTTTTTTACTTCAATTCTTTCCCTCTGGAATTTAAGACAGTGGCCCCTCACTTTTCAAGATAAGTCACTCTCTGTGATGCATTTTACAGTTGAACAGAAATGATCTTTGTCCTGAGTGCAAGACCTAGTTCAGAGAAGGCATTGGCTTCTGTTTTCTGCATAGCACTGAATCCTGAGGCAGGTATTATAATGAACCACAAAGATAAATTCTAGGAGCCAAGCAATTTTTTATATCACATAGAGAAAAGGGATGGCTGTCCAGATCACTTGGCATAGTCTAGGTACTTAATAAGTGCTTTTTGACTGATTATTAAGCTGAACCATCTGATTAAGAAGGCAAGAAGGCTCTCATTCTGAATTTTCTATCTCTTCTTCAATCGCATCTTTATGCAATCTCAATGTAACTAAACCTGTATTCACGCCAAACACTTTTCTTGATCTTAGAGAGATTGGCTTTTGCTCTCCCCACCCCCCACCTCCCGTAAAAGGCAGGGTGATATAGTAAATAGCAAGTTGATCTCAGAGTCAGGAAAAACCTACGTTCAAAAGCAGTCTTGATATATACAATCTGTGTGACTCTGGGCAAGTTATTTAACCTCTCAGCACCCCAAGCAACTGTCTGAGAGCATCAGTCATAGGAAAGGTTCTATTCTACACTGCTTCCCCACTCAAATTTCCCTATACTGATGAAATCATTTATAGGAATGGTCCCTCAAAAAAAAAACCTTATTGTATATTTCCTAATATAGTTTGGTGTGATTAATTCTCCTGATACTTCCATAGCCTACGTGTTGAAATGCAAGGTCAAGTCTATTATCAGTTATATAGCTGATTCAGCCTCTCTCTAAGGGTTACAACCCACTATCCTACAGGTGTGGATGACTCAATGTTTCACTGGGGAGGTCTTCTCAATAGAAAATTAAGTGGAGATTTGACAATTATCCAATTAGGCTGATTGCTGGAGAGGGTCAAGGAATACAATGCAGGCCAAAAGATACACTGATCAGATTTCTCCAAATAATTGCCAAACCTCCACTTTGTACTGAGTATGATTCAAAGAGCCTTCCCTGGCGGGTGTGCTTTCTTTCCAAGCAGCTGTGAAGAGTAAGATTTAGTTAGACTCTGGTCAGAGGGCACAAAAAGCCACAATGGGGTCAGTCTCCAGTAAGTTACAGCATATGGGAAATGTGACTTGAGGAGGGAGTGAGAATGTACTTTTTCAAAGAAGCATTTCTACAATAAATGCCTCTAAAATGCTCACTGGAAATTGACTACAGTTATTAGGGTCAGAGATAAACCAGTTTATTCTGTCTGGAAGTGTATAAATCTTTGTCAATTTGTTCAAGAGAGACCTGCTTTGCACTGCATGTGCACACACACTCACATATTTAATGAATAGGCATCTTGGGTGTTCAGCTACTCTTGACTCACACTTCCTCTTGTTTTTGATGGCTTTTGCCCAGTATGATTGCTTAAAATAATACCCCAGCTCCCTCAGTGGTCCTATGAGTAGGTCTGATAAAGGGGTCACTGGATAGTCTGTGGTTACCCTCAGTCTCCTTGCTATTATACCCCTCTCTGCCCATTCTATTTACCACACAGTAACCCACATGCCACTCCCTCTGAAGGGAAACAGACTCATTGTTGCTCATCATTCCCCAAAAAGGGGAATAGTCTCTCACAAGCTTAGAACACTCATCTTTCAGTACATAGCTTGCCTCTCCACTCTTACTTCTTATAGAACAGACAGCTCTATATATGAATCCTTTCCCTATATTTTAGAAGTCAGTGTTAAATGAAGCACATGGGATTTTGAAAGCATTTTAATACCTCCTTTATTAGCTTTTCCTGATGTCATATAGATGTCTCTATATCCTTTTCTTAAATTGAACTCTTCTCAAAGACCCAGAAATTTTCCCAGAATCCAATCAGGATTCATATCAACCAAACCACTTGACAGCAAATTCAGCATATATAGATCAAGCAGAAACCACATGAAACAAAATGAACCAAGGAAACCCAAAATCTAAGACAAGATAGTTTTTAGAAAATTTTGAAAGATAAAATTCTATAAAGAATTAAGAAAATGATGGGGGGGAGAAATATTAGCCTATTGTTATAAAAAAAGATAGTTTTAAAATGTTCACATTTGTAATATCCAGATTCTCTCCTAATTTTGATTAGTAACTGTAGTCATCCTATGCCTACTCCTTTTTTTGTACATTATTCTGAACTACCTCAAATATTATGCCTCCATCTTTATTTCATTATCTATCTACTAAAATTGAAAAAAAAAACATCCCATAACAATCATTAGGGAATTTAACAATGATTCTATCCTTCTCTAGGAAAATGCTTGAAATTATGAAATAAATTATTTCTTCCCAAACACTAAATGATATCCTAGAGGTATGAAAGAGTCATCATATCTCCAAGATAAGATAAATACATGTATTTAACTACCCCTAAGTTCAGATCTAATACTTAGAAAATTAGAGATGGAAAGCAAAATCCATCACTTTATAGATAGAATGTCCAAAGGTCTGTAACAAAAAAAAAAAATAAGGCAAGACACAAAATGGTCATTTCAAAAGTATGGACAGTACAGTCCCTTGGGCCAGACTAACAATAAATCCATGTGGATAGGTATGATTAGTTTGGATTGTGATCAGTGTCATGAGCTGGCCAAAAGTATCATCTCTGCTACTAAAGTGATGAAGTTTGAGTTTCATTTTCAGTAGTCCAGATGTTTAATGTAAAGTCTCTATATATTCTTCCTGGAAATTGCTCCTCCATATGCCAGTGCCCACACATTCATTAAAAGGCAGGTGCAATTGTGGTCTAAAAACATCTGTTTTGGACATTTGCTGGACTGAAGATTCAATTTTGTTGAATATTCTAAGTATCCTACATTGGGCTATTTTCTTTCCATCAAATATGATCAAAGTTTAGGCCACAACAGGGAAGATAAAATGAGCACCATCCAAAGTATAGGATTGAATTTACTTTTAGACATACATCTCAGGAAGATTGCAGTTACCAGAAGAAACAACTCCTAGCTATGTCCCTAACTAGTGGACTTTGGGCAGGTCAGTTAACCTCTTGGACCCAAGATCTAGTCTACTTGGATCACAAGTATACAATAATACTCACTGAGACCCTTTAAGCAAATGAGTATACTGTGAGTCTATCAGTCTGAATTGGTTTAAATTAGGTTAATTCTCTTCTGTATATTAGAGCCTAGAAAGATTGGACTCTCCCCACAGACACAAAAAGGTATCAAGGAAAGCATCTCAACATTAATGGTTGGCAGAATGGGGGGGAGTACTAAAAGGCAGCACAAGAAAGCATCTTTTCTTTAGAGTATTCTAAAAGACACTGTGTTCCTGTGTCTATAACAAAGGAGTATAATGTCCCAATTCAAACTAATGCTTTGATACTTTTTTGGTTTTAATAGGAAACAGGACTCAGGCACAGTCATGGCTGATTTAGTTACAGTACTAAATGTCAAAGGCAAAGATGCAACCATGGGGCTGCCAAAAAACAGTTATAAAAGTACATGGCACAAAAGTGAACTATTTCAATTCAAGGAAAGATGTTTCAACCTGGAAAAGAAACATTCCCCAGACTTAGCCAGTTCTCCATGTACTGATGCCATTGGCCTAAAAGGGAATGCTTCATTATATTCAATTACCTAAGGACTGAACGGCAGGGCAGAAGAAGGTAGGAGAAGGAAAGAGGAAAGTTGGATCCATCAGGAGAGATCCCTGGGGGCACAACCCCCAGCACTCCACAGCCATGTGTCTATCTGAAAGAAGTTGGGATTGAGACCCAGAGGTGGGAAAAGCAACATTACCCAAGCATTTCCAGTTGAATCAAATTACCTCTACTTCTTTGACACAAAACCTAAGCAAATAAACATTTAAAAGTCAGCATTATGCTTTTAGAGTGCCTGGATGATTCTAACTATCTTGGGATTAAGACGTCCATGAAAAAGACTGTTTTGGGGGAAAAAAAGACATTACCAAAAAGTAAGATGGAAAGGATGAAACCCAAAGATGCTGTAAAAGAGACAGAAGGTACAAGCAGAATATCGTGTGCTTGGAGCTCCCTGTGCTGTACTCATTCAGTGTGCTGACTGTTTTAAAATTCCATCTACAAACTCCAATTATTTCTTTTGACAGTTTCTTTTTGACAAACCAATTCAGAACATCTGCACTGATAGTTGCTAATTTATACTAGAAGCTGTGTCACTGATTGCTACACTGAACAGCATGACCTAAGGAGAATTTCTCAAGTCTGCAAGCTGTTAGATGCCTGAACTCTTCAAAAGGACCTGAATATGAGTCCTATGGAATCAGGTGTGAAAACTTCAGAAGACTAGGTAATAATGCACTCCTTATATTTTAATTATTTACACATTAGAATGTGTAAGTCTGCTATTCATTTATTCATCCATTTAACAAGCACTTATTAGGCACCTACCACATACAGGTTCTAGGGAACCTGGAGAACCTAGGGGAAATGTGAAATATTGCCTGATCATGAAGCACTTCCATCCTGTGTGAAATGGGGAAGGCAGAGACGTTACCTTAGAGATATTGGTTTTCTCATCTATGCAGTTATCAGTTATGGAGCCCCTAAGACCTTTAAGAATCAGAGGATTAAGAATCACAAAGGTTCTTACAAACCACGGTCCATCATTTTCATTTTATGGATGAGGAAACAGGCCCAAAAGGTGAAATGATATGCCCTCACACAGATAAAAAGCAATAAAGTTACTCAAACGTAGGTCATCTAGGAATCTAGATCTACTCTTCCTTCCATTATATTCTTCTACCTGCATAATCTGAGCACAGTGAAGTCCCTTTTATGTTGGGAGAGGTTTCAGTTTCTCACAGTACATCTTGGGAGAGGTAGAGGAGAGGAAGGGCACCGGGGAACAAGTGTGAGAGCACCAGCCCCATTTCTTTCTTCCTGACATATGGTACCTTTCCTGATACCATCTTTACTGGGGTGAAAAAATTCACCTTCAGAGAAAGACCAAGAATTCCATCCCTTAAAACTGTCTCATTTAAGATAAATTTTTTCACTTGTTGGTTTAACTATCCTGACAATTGATGCTTATCTTTGACAAAAGGGAAATAGCAGAATAAGCAAGTTTCTTTCTTAATTGCATGTATAAAAGTGAGTATGTTGCAATGAACTTGTCACTGATCAAGCAGGATAGTGAAGCTACCTTCTTTCCTCCTTTGAAGATGAATGGTGCTCATTCTGCCTTTACATCCTTTACTTTTGGAGCTCCTAAAGCCTTTTAGGCTTTGAGCATACTCTATTATTCCAAATTAGCTAGAAGGACACTTCTGAGTATGACTTGTCCATTCAAGGGCCTATTTTCCTACTCATAAATGTCTGACAAAGATGGGCTTATATGATTCTCCAAATCCTTATTGTTGAAGCCTAGGATCATGAGCCTTGGAGTTCATTAATTACTCAGTACCCAAAAGAACAATGTAGATGTGGATAGGTCCCAAGAATGAACTCACAAGATTTCCAGCTTAAAAGCTGGTCTCAATACTCACCCAAACCCAAACTCAACCCTTTGACTCCTCTGAGACCTCACCACAGATTAGAGATCTTTTATGTTTTTAATTCTAAGTTTCAAAAGCAATAAAATAATTTATCAGAACTGTTAATGTTTCTGGAATAATCTTTGTTTTATGACGTCTATCAGTGCTTCTCTTAATCCATCTAATTATGACTAAGTGGCAAGGAAAATTTCCTTTCAGGGGACTGTATTTTAGTATTCTCAAGCAAAACAATGACAAATGAAAAGTTTCAAAAACTCTCTCAAATAATACACACGCTCTCTGCGTGCAAACATCTTCTGTCATGATACCTGATTTTTTTTCTGCCTTATAGTATGATTGTTTTTCCCTGGAAGCTAAATGCAAAAAAATTTCAATCAGAAATGCACATACCCTTCAATGTACATTCAATAGGCAAGTGCCAAGTTAACCATTTCACCATCCTCCAGTGGAAGAATCCACGTGGCTTTCAAAGCCAGTTCGTCCAAAGATCCATTAACCAAAGCCAAAAGCCATGCCATACGTCCAGTAGGATTTTGTGTCTCTGTTTGGTTGTTTTCCTTCAGTCTGACCAATGTAACATTTTAATGTAAAAAGTGAGCTGCCAGCACAAGGTACGGGGGATGAAAATGAGGGTGTGGCAGCTAAATGTCATCGTGGGCAAATTGCTGATTGTGTTTATCTGCTGCCAAGCAGTAAGAAGATAATTTTAGAGCTAACACAGGAAGTGGAGGAGGCTGATGACAGAGATGTGGGCCCTACTCACCATTTTCATAAGCAAACAAAACACTTTCCACACTTTCATTCCACGATGTTGTGAAACTCTAAGAAGGTTGCATTTAGCCAAGGGCAGTGAAAGTCCCTACCTGTGTCGTGTAAAGGTTTTGGCATTAAACAGCTCTCAACATATCAATGACATAGATTGGTTGTGACATTGAGTGAGTCACCTTTAAGAAATAGTGTTCTTTGAAGGAACGTTTCTTTCTCTTTTCAATATTCTTTATTAAACAGAGGATAGGTGAGGGTTGGGACATAACAAATAGGGAATACATCTACCGCTAACCAACTTACTGTCTTGGCCTAGTTCTTGGTCTAGTGAGACTGCCAACCAAAGAAGGAAGAAAAGAAGGAAGGAAAGAAGGGAGGGAGGAAGAATGTAGTAACAGGATCCCTAGTTATACCTACTTTAAAGGAAAACCTCAGAGGATTCTGATCTGCTCAGATTATCTAAATTTTACATGCTTCTCTATATAAGCCACTTAATAAGTAGAGCATTAAAGGATTCTACTTTAAATACATTTTAACTACACATTTTATGATGTTAGGATTGATTTACCAAACCTAACTCATCAAGTGCACTTAACAAACACATTGAAATTAGCAAGCTTTGTTTCAGCTTTTGTCATTGACAGATATCTAAGTTTATGGTTATATATAAAGCACATATAAATAAACTGAGGTAGGCAAACCTAGCAAAAAATTGGAAGGGGAAATGCTGCCATTATCATCAACAATTTTGTTTAAAAAGAGAAAACCAAGTATACCCTACAAGTAGGATAATAATTGTTTCATAATATACATTATAGCCTGAACTGACCCAATTTGAAAGAATATACTCTACATTTGAGTGTATCTTGAGATCAGAATTCTCAACTCAGAGCCCAGTTACACTGAGAATGTTATGATGGTGGCTGAGGTTCTGAAATCAAGTACTCCAAGGCTTGTACTTTGATTAGGTCTAACAATATAACTCTTTGGTCACTCCAAAACACAAACACACACACACACACACACACACACACACACACACACACACACACAAAGTTAAGGAAGTCACTCCATTGTTTCTGTACTACATCCACTGAACACAGGTTTAAAGTCTGAAAGCCTTACTGACATCCCAGTGTAACCTAAGGCCACAGCAATATACTCCCAACAGGGGGTATAAAAATAAAAATGGTTTCCATTCTAGTTCCATTTTCCAAATGCAATCTCTTTTTATGAGGCCTCAGTTTTATTTTTCAATGTTTCATTTTGTGTCTAACACACTTGATGTTTGATAAGGACAAATCCAGTAAAGCTGTTGAAAAACAAAGCACTTTCATTTTTACATAGATATGCTGTACCTTACTCCAAGAATGTCTAACTCATCTGTAAATTATGAGTGAACTCCCTGTCACATAAATCCTAAAGGGACTATAATACATGGGAACAAATTAAACCATGGAAATCTTTTAAATGTCAACATGCTGACAGTCACATGCATCCTTTCTTCTATTTTCAAAACACTATCTTGGTGATATTTCTGCAGCCAAAGTACATCAATCTAATCACAGAAGATTTCATTGATGTTTGTCTGATATAACACTTAGCCCTAACTGTTCAATCAACATAGAGATGTTAGGGTTTTCCTCTTAGCTAAAACATTTTAAGTACCATTTAACATTCAAAGCACTAAGATGCCATTGCAGTATTCTTGAGATTTTCCCTAAGAGATCTGACTGCTTTTACAATGAGTTTTAGGATGCTTTTCTTTTTCAAATGATAACAATCAAATTTTGTAGAACATAAAGATACAAAAAGTTGAGATGTTAAATAATTGGGGCTATACAAGTATAAATTGCCCATGTGAAATACGGGGTCTTAACTCATTCAATTACATGGAAAACTAGAAATTTTGACCCTGCTGGGTGGATGCCAGGCTTACCACAATCAACATGATTCATTCTTGCTGATGGGGGCCTTGGTATAAGTGGTCACAAATAGGTATGGGTTTGGTAATATACATTTTTTGTGATTTCTCTTTCTTTGCCACTTCCTGGGTCATTAAGAGTCAAAGAAATTGGTATTCTCTTAAAATACATACCTTGAAAAGTTCATAAGGTTAATTGCCATTATGGGCATCCAGAAGGGCTATCTACAGCCTTTTAAAACAGGCAATCAGCAATGAAAGGGCGTGTTTTGATTACACAAAAAGTTCTCCCTTCTGAAAATCTGTCCATTACAGTGACATTAAATACCCAATGACTGGGTCTGAGATGGAATATTAGCATGAGCATAAAATCACCATTGAAGTAGCGTGACCAAATAAGGTGTTGACCTTAAGACATTATAGCAACTGCTTATTTCTAAACGCATCTACAAAGGAATTATAAGTATTTTCTTTTCCACCTTAAAGATCTATACAATTTCATAAACACAGCAGTATTACTACTGGTGAAGGTCACAGAAAATTCATGCTGAGCAGGGAGTTGAGTGGGCATGGCTGCTGTGTATTTGTAGGCCACCATAGAGAGAGAGAGAGAGAGATCAGCAATCTTCCCTCCAGGTAACACCCGACAATTTTTTTTTAAAGGGAAAATACATTTTCCTCTGCGTTTCAGAAGAAATGGAGGAGACAGTCTTGCTAAGCAGGCTGAAACATAGTTTTTTACTCCCCAGTGCAGCACAGGTTACATTGTATTGCACCAACTTCATGAAGTGTTCCATTTTTTTTACATCTTTTAGAAAAAACATCCAAATCTTTCATTTCCAGTGCTTAATGTTAGAAATATATTGTTACCATTTGCAGGAAGGTAGGTGAAATGCTGGTACTGGCTTCTCTTTCTCTTTCCATTGCAGACGTAGAAATTAACCTGAACAGGACTGGTAATTCTCTGATTGCGAAAAGGTGGTATCTCAACCACCAGTGAATTCTGAAATAAGAATGATACACAAGGAAAGGCAACAATCAGCATCTTACAAAAAAAAATAATAACAATTAGAATATATCTACATATGACCCTTCCAAATTCCTGTGTAGAATAAAACCAACCTAATTACTCATGTTAATGAAGGGAAGTAGAGAGGAAGGAAGTTAGAATAACGGAATGGAGTGCAAGTCTTGGACTTGAGAAGTTATGGATTCAAGTCTTGCCTTTAACTTATACTGGCTATGTGATTGAGGGCAAGTTCATTAATGTTTCCGTGCCCCTAAGCAATCCTCTAAGACAACACATTTCAAAGGAGTTGCTGACCTGCATGGGTGGCGTAAATTTCCACACCAGAGAATTCCTCACCTTGAAGTCAAAAATCTACACCAATTTGGGGGAAAAGAGGACTTGGGGAATGAACATTTATTAAGCACCTCCTCTGTGCCAGGCACAGTGCTAAGGCTTTACAAGTATTATCTCATTATATTTACTACTAACTACCAAATGGTGGATAATCTATCCCTCAATTCTTATTATCATCTCCTCCATCCCAATATGAACATTTATTCATCTAACTGTTTTGCTTATGCTAAGTGAAACTTAGTTTGTATTACTCTCTGATTAATGGATGAAAGGTTATCTTAGCGTAAATAGTGAGAAGGCAAAAGATCAAGAATATATGGGGGAAATTAATCTGGAATTAATTTGCTGGAGATGAAACACCACACAGAAGATTAGTATTAACTCTATGTTCCAATTTCTGGACAAATCAAGTCAACAAGCATTTATTAAGCATTTATTATGTGACAGGCACTGTGTTAAGCACTGGGGATTTTTTTTTTAAAAGGCAAACAAAACAACAATAACAAATTTAAAACCCCACAACCTTGGGAATATCTGACACCCATCAAGGTTCTCTACCCATCACTTAGCCAGTCATACGCCTTATGAGGATGCAGAATGATCTCACTTATTCTAGATCTACAGTCCCTAGACCAATGTGAACAAAAAGAAAAAACCACACAATCAATAGGGTATTTTACCGGTGGAAAATATTGGGCAGGAGCATTGTAAAGTACTTTCCCACAGGACTGACAAAGAAAAATCCAAGGAAATTGCCTACTGGGGACTTTTTTTTTCTGAAGGAGAGCTTTCAATTACCAGACTATCCATCTCTAATATTCAAGTTAGTGTTAGTCAATAAGAAAAATATTCCAACACATTCAAAGCTCCTTTAACTGGGTTTGCCTGAGAAGGTTATGAGTGGGGATGACTAAATTCATAGAATCTCTCTTATACTTAAAGTCAAGATAGATAAATTTATCTCAGGATAAATAAGGTAGCCATCAAACTGTGGACTTGAGTCTTTTGGAAAAAGCAAAACAAATCAAAACATAATATATATTATTCTCCCCATTGACCCAAATGAAGTTCAGAGATTACAGAGAAAGGTTCTTGTATTATGTGGAGAGTGGCTGATTAAAAAAATAAATAAAAAGATAACCATATTTGTAATTTTTATTTTTGGCTAGGCAATGGGGTTAAGTGACTTGCCCAGGGTCATATAGCTAGTAATTGTCAAGTGTCAGAGGCCAGATTTGAACTCAGGTCCTCCTGACTCCAAGGCCGGTGCTCTATCCACTGTGGTGCCTAGCTGCCCCTGTGGTTATCTTTTTAGACAAATCTAATACCTCTTTCTACAGATACTATGGCAAAGACATGACATTACCTGGTGATATGGTGCAGTAGAAAAACTAATGGCCTGGGCATTAGGAGAGTGAGGTTCTTTCTAATCCCAGTTCTGCCCCTCTTAAATCACTGTGAACCTCAGTGACAGAGTCACCATATGAACCCCAGTATTCTGGATCCTGAGTTCATTGTTCTTTCCACTGTACTTTTTGGTTTCTGTGAGATAAATGGTTATCGATAATAATAATAATAGCCAGCATTTATTTTTACTTTAACATTTGAATTGAGTCTTTCCTTTTTTTTTTTTAGCAAGGCAATTGGGGTTAAGGGACTTGCCCAGGGTCACACAACTAGTAAGTGTCAAGTATCTGAGACTGAATTTGAACTCAGGTCCTCCTGACTCCAAGGCTGGTGCTCTATCCACTACACCATCTGGCAGCCCCTACTTTAACATTTGAAAAATGCATTCCATGTGCCATCTTATTTGATCTTCACTACAATTCTAGGAGGTAGGTACTGTTATTAACCCCATTTTACAAATGAAGAAACTGTGGTTGAAAAGTGGTTAGGTGATTAACCCAGGGCCACAAAGGTAGTATCTGTGGTAGGATCTGAACTCATGTCTTCCTGATTTTACATCAAGCATCCCATTGTCTGTACCACTCAGCTGGTTAATTTTTAATAAGAAGTGGGAAGGGAAGATTTGAGAAAAACACTTCTACTTACTTCTTTTGTTAAATTGTTTGGGCTTAAGGGAGTTCTTAATAGATAAATATCTTGAATATTTTGCTCCTTTTATCAAAGATAAGATGGGAAGCTTTTGTCAAATTATACAGAGTATATATATATATATACATATATATATGTATATACATACATATATATATACATACACACACACACACACACACATATAGGCAATCGGGGTTAAGTGACTTGCCCAGGGTCACACAGCTCAGAGGATATATACTTTAAGGAACATATAAGCATCGTAGCATGTCAGAGGCTTAACAGACCCCCTTTTCTTTGCAAATAAGGAATCAAAGATCTAAAGCAACTTCCCCAAGTTCATATAGTAAATGGCAGTGTGAGGATTTGAACCCAGGTCAATATTCTTCCAATATTGTGCTCTTTCTACTACACTATAGTGTATGGTACCAAGTTAAAAACTATATTTACTAACTATACATTCCTACTACTTTCAGACTTCCTCACCTATGAGGCTCAGAGAGATTGAGTGACTTTGCCCATGGTCATTGCTAACAAGAGTCAGAGGTGGAATTTCCACCCCTCCAGTCTTCCTGACTCCAGGTCTAATACTCTTAGCTGATATTTGGGTGGTGCAAAGGATAAACTCTTGGCCTGGAGTCAGGAAGACCTGACTTCAAATCTTTGTTCAAATACTGTGTAATCCTGAGCAAATCACCAAGCAAACTCTCTACCTTAGTTTCTTCATCCGTAAAGTGGAGATGATGATAGCACCTACCTCCCACGGTTGTTGTGAGGATCAAATGAGTTAACATATATAAAGTACTTTGCAAACCTTAAAGTGATAAATAAATACTAGTTACCATTATCCATTACATCGCATTCATTTTTTAACATATGAGAGTGAAAATGAAATTAAGATTAAAAAGAAGAAAATTTGCATTCATAGAAAAGACAGAGAAAGGATTTAAAAAAAAACAATTTATACATGAAAATCAGACTACACAGACTACTTAAATTGGGAGAAGGAAGCTGTTTGCAGCGCAAAACAATTTATTTAACCTGCCTGTATCTGATGAGCGTAGAAGCAGCAGAGATGGTAGACAATGACTTGGTGGAACAGAGATGGAGTGATGTGGGGACACACACATAGAACGTTTAGTCTTTCTGTGTCTCAGCTGAGGGAACATCGTGCATGAAATGTACAGTCAAGTTCCCATAAGCAAGTGAAGTACAGTAAATAAGAGCTCCCAATGGAAGAGAAGATGGCCAACTCGCACCGTCTTCCACAGTCCAACCTCACGTGCACAAAGAGCTAGTGAGCTGCACAAAAGAGTCTGATTCTCTATGCTCATGGCTTCCTTTGCTTACTATCAAACTCCCTTGCTATGTGCATGGCCAGCAAATGACCGCTGGCGTTGCAGTAGTTACTGACCCCTTGGATGGATGTCACTATTCCTTACTGAGGCATCTGCCCTTTGAGATTGTCTGACGTCATTCCCTGAGGCAGGAAGGTAGAGAGCCAGGAAGACTTCTCTTCCTGAGTTCAGATCTAGCTTCAAGAACTTACTAGCTGTGTGACCCTGGGCAAGTCACTTAACCCTGTTTGCCTCAGTTTCCTCATCTGTAAAATGATCTGGAGAAGAAAATCGCAAAGAAAGAAAATTGCAGTATCTTTGCCAAGAGAAGCCCAAATGGGGTCGCAAAGAGTTAGGCACGGCTGGAAAAAATAACTAAACAACAAATGTCATCCCCAAAACCTCCCTAAGGTTACCCTAGATATCTACTCCTTTCAGACCAAGGCCAGATAGAACTCAATACAAATGATTCGGAACAGCGGATAAGAGAATTATTCGTTCCACATTTACTGTCATGGTGACTTGTCCATAATTATAAAGAATAAGTCGACAACTGCTGTAATTATATAAGAAGGCTAGCAAAGAGATAATAATGTAGGAAAGGAAGGGGGAAAGTAAGCTTACATCACTTTTGTGAGTAAAGTCAGGGACTGGTCCCAATATGCATAAGATCACAGGTTCATGTGATTAGAGCCAGAAGAGACCTTAAAGGCCAACTCCTGCATTTTGTACATGAAGAAGACGAACTTCGGAGAACCTAAGAGATTTGACCAAGGTCGACAATGGCAATGGGTGGCAGAACGGGGATCTGAATTATCTCCTCTGACTCTAAATCCAGCCCTATTTTCAGTATAGTTATGAAGGTAACTGGCATTTTGAGCCTAGGGAAACATTGAAAAATGATGCTGTGGCCAAGGTATCCCTTAGATAAAATGAAGCAAAGTTTGAGCCAATTATGTAAAAAAAAAATAGCAATGAAACACTGCTCAGCGTGCTTCATCACTTTCTAGCAGCTGGTGTATTTCTGGGAAAATCTGTGTTAGTGTTAGAGAGAGGCAATACCAGTAAGAAGGTAAAGTTGTAAGACTAGTTTGCACTAATTTTGATATGAGGAATGAGAAATGAAAGTGAGAGAGTAAATTAGCATTGCTAATTAGTGAACAAAATCTTATCAGCCACATACACTTTAAATCAACTTTGTCTCTCCAGTGGAGGAACAGAAAAAAACCAACATACGTTACTCATCACCCAAAATAAATCATTAATTGCCAGAGGTGATCGATCAATCAATAAGCATTTATTAAGCACCCACTAAGTGCACAGCACTTAGCTGGCTGCTTTGAGGGATACAAAATAAAACTGACATACAATTATGCAGGTAAATGGCTGTTTGTAAAGCTGGAGGAGAAATCTAATATTAATAATAAGAAGAATGATAGCCATAAAATATGTTGCAAATTCCCTCCCTTTTAACTACATGTATCAAAAAAAAAACACGTTTATAGGCAAATCCAATGAGTAAATTTGTCAAGTAAGACCACATCTGAGGTGATATTTATTTTACATCTGAAACAAAAGTAACTAATAAAAAAAAATCATCATGTGCTCTGTAGTAGATGGTTCATAATAAGCCATTGAAATATTATTCTAAGAACCTACTTGTCTATGGGATGGGGCATATGCCCTGCTGAAGAGTAGGTCAATTTTGAGAGTCTCGAAACAAGTATTGTTTCCCAAGGGACTTGGGGAGAGCAGCAGTACTCATATTAGGGAATCCCCTATTTCTTATTCTCTTTGGTTGACATTGAAGCAATTGTGATAGAGAAAGCGGAAAAATACACGTGTGTCCGTGTGAAAGGATGGGGAAACACACGTCAAGAGCTTCGGGTTTTGAGGATTAAAAATATGTGTGTGTATATATATATGTGTGTGTGTGTATAAATATATATATATATATATATATAATATGTATATATATACATATACATATATGTGTGTGTGTGTGTATATATACATATATGTTTTCTATTGTTATTCAATCATGTCTGACTCTTTGTGACCCCACTTGGGGTTTTCTTGGCAAAGATACCACAGTGGTTTGCTATTTCCTTCTTCAGCTCATTTTACAGATGAGGAAACTGAGGCAAACAGGGTCAAGTGACTTGCCCAGGGTCACACAGCTAGTAAGTATCTGAGGCCAGATTTGGACTCAGGAAAATAAGTCTTCCTGACTCCAGGCACTCTATCTACTGTACCACCTAGCCATCCCATATGTTTTCTAGTGATATCCATTTTGTGCCCAAACCATTTTACAAAGTATTTCCAGGAGGAATGTGTCCTGGTCCATGTAGCTGCTGTTACCATCACTATTCTTCACATTATTTAGCTTCATTTTAGCACTTGTTTCACAGAGTGTTTTACAATCATTTTTACAACTTGTTTGTGCCCTATCTATTATTTTTATTAGTTGTTCTATTTTACTAAAGAAACTATGTGCCAAAGTTAAGGAAACTCTAATTCTGTTCTAGCTGGATGCTATAGAAACATGTAAGAGCATGTATTTTTTTTTAATGGCATCACATTTAAGGAATACTTACTGGCTTGCACATTTCTTTGTCAGTTTTTGCTTCCATTTCCCACACGTGGTGACCATCTAAAGGGAAAAGACAGAAACAAATCTATTTCTCTAAGTACATATTTCTTTTGACCTCCATTCTATCCTCCCCATTCTCTCCCCTTACCCTTAGACTTACATAAATGACAACTAGTATTACCATTATGCAGGCAACATTAGGATTCACTGGTAGAAAAAAAATAACTGTCTTGAGGTACCAAAACTTTTCCCAATTCCTGGATGACCTTTTTCTAGATTAAACAACAAACATTAGTAAAGTTCTATTGTATAGAAAGCACTATGTTGGATATAGGAGAATACACAATTTAGATAAGGCATGGTTCCTGCCTTCCTGAAGCTTATGATCTGACACAGATAACTATAATACATGATGTTCCATGATAGTTACCTAAGATGTTATCAATGTCAATGAAGTGGGTAGCTTGCAGCTGCCCTGACATTGAATGTGGACCCAAGGCTTAATGATAGAACATAGGTTCTTAGACATCAGCTCTCAACTTAACCTAGGTATATTCATCATGCTGGAGCCCATGGTCCTCACAGACTGGATTCCCTTATAACAATGAGCATGTTACTGGCCACACAACTGATGAACTTTAGATTTAAGCCATTTTGACTTAGATTTAGTTAATGTGTCTCTACCCCATTGCAACTGAAATTGGACCATGACAGAATTTCTAAATCCATATCAACCTATCGGAAGTGAAATGGGAAACATGGGGAAAATGCAGACTGGCCCCAAAGCTAATTGTGTCTCTGTCCAGCAGCAGGAAGAGAGTTTTTGAGGTGTTATGAGCTCTGCTGTTTTACCAGAGATGCCATTGTAACTAATGGCAAAATGACACTCGTAGCTTTTTTCTGTATACTTATCGCCATATTTGGACATACAAGTAGAAATATAAGTTCATTTAAACTTCAGCCCAGGTTATGTTTTTGTGACAGATTTTCTTAAAAGAAAAAAATAATGGTTCAAAGTGCTTATGAATGAACTTTTTGTTCTTTATTGCCTACCATGCCCAGCACAGAGGTGTCACTTTTAGGAGTGTCTAATGCATTCCGAATGTCGGCAAACAATAGTCTTTGTATACAAAAGCATCTCTTTGGAAGGTAGGCTGTTATGAGAATGGCATAAGTCATTATTCTTAAAGTGACAGGTAAAATTATGGTGTTGATTACTTTACAAGGGAAATTTACCTCCACCTCCTACCCCTTCAGTCTTTTATCTTTACCTAAAATGAAGAGATCTCCTGAAAAAAATATAAGTAATCACAACTTATTAATCTACCTACTAATGTACAGAATGATTGAAATCTATACTGGTGGAAGAAGTGAGTATCCACATAGATGAAATCATGAATCGCTGGAATAATATATATATATATATATATATATATATATATATATATATATATATATATATATGTAGCCTACATTTCTCTTTGTGTTTTATTTTAAAAAGAGAAAAGATATACCTTTTTCAAGCTACAAAGCAAAACAAAATCAGAGAAATACCTTCAGAAGTTATTGATTGGGGAAATTATATTAGCTATACTAATGCCCAGAACCCTCCAACATTATGTTTCAAACATGCCAGAATTACACAAACTTCCCGGGGCTATCAGATCCCAGTACACAATTCATTCACCAGATGAATCCACTAAATCAATGAATATAAAAAAATAAAATAGACCACCGTCTTTTGGGTGCAGGACCCAACTTTCCTCCAGGAAAAAATACTGTGAAACTAAAAATAAACTTAGTTGCTCTTGAAGACATCAGAATTTTGACAGCTCTGCAAAACTTCCAAAGTTCTGGCCCGCTTGAGATCTTTGGCCAATGGAGTATTTTTTTACTGTAGCCATATGTCCTGGTGTTGGTCAGGAATACTTTCCCAGCTTTGAAAAAGGGTGGCTAGAACTTTGTATTGACTTGTGCTTAATTTGTAGTTTCTATCTTAGAGAGAGACTATATAGTCTAGACTCTAGGACATGATCTAGGACTCCGTCTTGGAGCTCTGAAAAGCTGACTTTCCCCTCCTCTCCTACTTTTTTTTTTAAAGAAATCTAAGTTATTCTTTATGTAACTAATCCTCTATTATTTCTCTTTGGCACTAACCTAAAAGCTTTTGAAATTTTATTATGACAAAGCACAAGTTTGCTCAAAAAAACATTTTAGGTGTTATAATCTAAACTGTTAGGGAAAAATTCCGGCCAGTGTTTAGTCTTTACCTATCAACTGGAAGCTAAGAGTCATAGCTTGGGTTTCAGTAAGAAATTCTCTTGAGAATGTCCAGACCCTTGCTGTTAAAAAAGGGGGGCAGAAAGGATTGAGGGGGAGTGAGAGTCAGAGAGAGAAAAGGGGAATAGAGGACTCATTAAGAGGTAGTGACATTTCGTTTAACAAAAACATAAGGAGGAGAAGCTGTTATGAAGCAGAGACAAAAAAAAAAGTAGACAATTCCTCATGTTACGTCTGGTGAACCAAGAGGGAAATCTCAACGCCCACGAACTGGGACCTACTCCAGGAGGGAAACCTTAGACCACTACGTCAACCTCTTACAGTAAACATGTTTTGCAGGTTTATACAATTTAAAAGAAAAAAAAAACATTGGGATAGGAACAGTTTGTGGGGGCCTAACTGGTAAGGAAATTTGCCTATGGAGGAGAAAAGAATTTTCTCCCAATGCAATAAGCATGTGGGATACCTTTCTTGTTGTCAGAATGTGCCTAAGAAGTAAGGCCTGATAAACCACAAAAGTTTCCATTGTAAGCTTGCCACATCTGCATTGGCCTGGCTGGTTTAGGGCCCAAGGCAACTCCCTGCCTGGCCAAGCACCAACAAAAGTACACCAGAGCAATTTATACCTTTCCAAAATGCAAATAATTCAAATTACAGACATAACACAAAGCTGAAGCAGACACATTTCAGGCATTCCCGTTAAAAGTTTTGCTCTCTGGACCCACCAAAATATATGTGAAGCTTTGAAGGACCAGTTCTTGGGGCCTTCTTCCAATCAATCTGATAATTTTTTTTTCCTTGGGAGACATGGAAAGCCATTTCAGACCCTGGCTTTGACTTTGCACAGTGGAGTGAATTCAGAGAAAATAATTGGCCATTTGTATAGCTAGGATCATTTTGCAGTCCTATCTTTGGAGAGAAAGCATGTGGTTCTTCTTTCTTCTCAAAGCTTATTCCCATCTCTTAAGGGCAAGATACATACTACTTACTGGGTTGCTGGTGTCCTCTGAGACTTTTAAATGGCAGAGAGAGAATCTAGACAGAAAAAAAGTTGCCAATTGGAAAATCTGGGTTCAAATACTGCCTTTGATACCTCCTGTGTTATTTTGGGCAAGTCGCTTAACCTCTGAGTATTCTAGACAAGTCTCTAGGATTCTAAGTTGCTGACCTACAGGGACTTTCCTTACCCAGTCATTAACTATACCAATGAAATCACAAGTCCAGTCCCTAGGGCCCATCCTAACAGCCTTGTACTTTTTGGGAATCTCTACCAATTTCTCACTTTTTCAGCATCCATTAACCATTTTACACTCAGTCCTCCCTATGAAACACCTGGAGTCACTAACAATGAAAATACAGCTCTTATAATCCATTAAATTTCTTTCAGAGCAGATGAAAGATGACAAGGTCTGCCAAGTGGATCCATCACAGCCTAGGGCTGTCTTCTGCAAGGCACCTGAACTCGGAGGTGAGGGATGGATTCAATCCCATCCAAAATACGCCTCCCACTGGAAAGGGAAATGGCCAGCCCTGAATGGGCCTTTGTGTTTCAGCCTTATCAAATCCTCATTGCATTTCTTAGTGCTCCAGGAAACTGCATAGAAGTCCAGGGGTAAAAATATTCCAAATCATTAGGGAATTCCCTACAGCATGAGTCATAGAAAAGGCTTCCCCACCACACCCAGCTAGAAGATTTCTACACAAACAGGGCACTATGGGTCTGTTCCAACACTCCACAGGACTGAAAAAGAAGCTGTTTAAAACTCACAATGTCAATTAGTCATATATATTGTAGTGTTTTTCTAGGGCTGAGCTTTTTTTTTTCCATACATGAAAGCAACCCAGACTTTATTTAGGAGTTGTAAAAGCTTTTCTAAGACACACTCTACTATTTTCTAATCCTTCTTGGTGTGCTGGGCATTATTCTTATATGCCTGTGATTGGGTTTCTACACACCAGAGAATGGGTTCTGGATAGAGTTCTGTGCGATCACCAGCATCAACACCTATTAACCAAAATGGTTCAACAGTCATATGAATTAAAAGAGAGCGCATAGATCAAAAAGGGTCATAAAGCAGAACGCTTATGACAGCCTTGTCTGGGATCACCAATCCCATCACCCCATGGCTATCATTTCTGTATCTGGAGACTGGGGAAAGAAGAAAATGCAGAATGGGCATCTTTCTAGACAAAGACTTCTTTGGCTTCAGTTACTCCAGTACCTACAATGGAAGTACACCAGTTTGTTTTATTTTGTTTTTAGGAAAATGAAAGAGAGAGGGGAGACAGAGACAGAGAGATAGAGGGAAAGAGAGAGACAGAGAAACAGCAAGACAGAGAGAAATCAACTGATGTAGACATAGGGAGACACAGAATTCACACTTAGGATTGTTTCACTAATAAAATTGAATCAGTCCAATAAAAAGCAATGACTGAAAATTAAGACACTCCTCTGCTTAGGATTCCTTATGTCCTTAACCTCCTCCTCTATTCTAAAATTCTCACCAAATGCAAAGAAATCATCCATTTCAGAATCAATATTAACTTGTTTATAAGTAGGATATAAACCATTTTTGGCAAATTCTTACCAAATTCTCCCTACTATCTAAAGTGGGCAAAGTTATCCAAGGAAATTAAATGTAATGCCAGTTAGTTTTACCCCCAGACACAAGAAAGAGGGGGAAGTTGGAAATGAGGAGGAAAAATAAATCCATTTCCTTGTATTTTATTCATTTTTCATCTCAGTTTCTGCCTCACTTCAATAACAGGCTTAGTGAGAT